TACATTAACTTTAGCTTTCCCCCCATACCCTCCTCGGCTTCCCGGAGCTGAATACAGGATCAAGTTCATATTTCCATAATTCTTCTACAATCATTAATCCAATTAAAACAATTATAATACTAACAATCTACACACCCCTTTAACTCTAAATAAAATATTACAACTATACTAATTTATAATCTACCTAATCCTTAAATGAGCTAAAAATAATAATAATAATAAATTCACGTTATTAAAAAAACACCGTTATATCTATATATGTAATTTAAGCAATAATCCTTTCCTAATTAACATAAAGAAAATTTTCATTTCATATACTTAATAGTTAATTAATTCCGCCTGCAAGGAAACCCCCTAAGCCCAGAGGGCACCCAGGAACCCCCCTCCCCAGTTGTTTTCTCCCTCCCCTCTGCTCCTTCCCCTCCCCATAAACCTCCCTCCCTACTAGTGCTGATAATGTTTGGATGGCCCAGAGAGCACCCAGGACCCCCCCCCCAGTCCTTTTCCTCCTCCTCCTCTCTGCCGACTCCCACTTCCTTCCAGCCCTGACGTTGTTGCCTAGTGGGGTCTTGAGACGCCTGCAAGGAAAAGGGGCTTGGAGGGCGTCAAAAAGGCCCCTCGTTTTTGGACCCCTGAGCCGCAAATATTCTCCTTTAATACTGACCCTTAAAAGTTCTCTTCTTCCCCTGCCAGGAATGGAAGCTGGACACCCTCTGCGACCTCTACGAGACCCTGACCATCACCCAGGCGGTCATCTTCATCAACACCCGGAGGAAGGTGGACTGGCTGACGGAGAAGATGCACGCCCGGGACTTCACCGTCTCGGCCATGGTGGGTTGGGGAGGGGGGCTTGTCTCTTGGGGAGGAGGGGGGGTTCTGCCCTCCTCAGAAAAGGGGGGAAGGGGGGCTCCTTGCCCCTGCTGCCTTTAGCGACCCTTGAGAGACCCAGCCGGTTCCTCCCGCGCGAATCACGGTTAACCAAACCTGGCCAGCTTGCCAATCCTGGTCTTTTGGGGGGGGTCTCGCCCGCTCAGCACGGGGACATGGACCAGAAGGAGCGTGACGTCATCATGAGGGAGTTCCGCTCCGGATCCAGCCGGGTCCTGATCACTACTGATTTGCTGGTAAGTGCCAGGGAGGGGGCTTCCCTTCGCGCTCCCCCCCTCCCCAAATTCCCTCTCCCCCCCCCTGGAGATTCCCTCTCTGCCTGGCCGTTGCGGTGCCAAGGGTGGATTGTAGCTCCTGGGCAGAGGAACGCCGGAAGGGGCTGCTCGTCTCCACGGCCGGCACCCCCCCTGCGAGGTCCCGGCCACTTTGCAGCAGCTCACACTAGGCTCTCCTGCCTGGGGGTGGGTTTGAAGGGGGGGCATTTGGGCTTCAGAATAACCAGAGTGGGCAGTCTTGAAGTTGCCTGGGTGGGAGACAGACAGACACACACACACACACACACACACACACAACTACGGCACGCATCTGAGAGAGCAGAGATGGGAGGACAGGGAAAGGGGTCATTCCATTTGCCATAGCTTGAGGACTAGCCCCCCTTCGCTTAATAACCGCAGGATTCCCTGAACCAACTCTAAATTGCGCAACGGGGCGCAAACTCGCCTGTCTTGCTTAGTAACGGGTGTTGGGGCTCGGTTGTGAGCGTAAGACGGGGACTGCCTCTCCGGCGAGTCCTATCGGGTGCCGAGCAGCACAGAAGTTTTGAGTCCCACGTAGTTCTCGACTTACGACGGCAATGGAGCCCAAACGTCTCTGTTGCTAAGTGAGACACTTGAGTGAATTTCTCCCCGTTTTACGACCTTTCCCCCCCCCCCGTCCTTAAGCGAAGCAGCACAGTTAAGGTGGTTGCCCGGCCGTTTGGCGAGTCCGGTTTCCCCGTTGACTTTGCTCGCCGGAAGGGCCACCAAAGGGGATTGTGTGACACACTCACAAACAGACACACACACCCGGACACACATGCAGCGGTCGTAAAGACGAACTGGTTTCCAAGCCTCTGAATTTTGATGGGCTGACCCTGGGGAGGCCACAAAGTCGTCCACCAACGGCAGAACGGCCCTAAATCCCCTATTTCGGGGCCCTTGCGGCTTGGGCCGGTCGCTAAGCGAAGGAGTTGCAAGT